TTAGGTCTTTGCCCATCCATTATATTGGGTAATTTTTTCAAATTTTTACTCTTTTTTTTAATTTAATTTTTTCTTCATTTTCTTCTCAAATTAAATTTTTTTTAATTACATAACTTACTATCACAATTAAAACCTTTTCTCAATTTTTTTCCTATCTCTTTCTTTCATTTTAAAATATAGTTACCTATTTTTTCTTAATGTATTGTGTCACATAAGCTAGCACCAAATGGCGTGCCTGTTGGCCAATAGTAGTTGATTTATAAAATAAGAAATAATCATTCCATCGTCAACTTGGCATCAGCAAAAAATTGGAGGTTCGATTAAATTTTGTACGACACACTCTATGACCATCTAAGACTTTTAAACACAAAAAATAAGTAAATCCTAGATACGTTGTCATTTATCATGTTACTCACTATTAATATGGGTATCAAGAATCTACATGTCTGATGGAGCAGTGATCTCGGAAAAAATTATTTGGTAGTTCTAAACTACTAAATTTTAATAATCTATTTAAATTTTTTATAACTTACAAGAAAATATTAATAACATTAAATTACATGTAATTAGAGACTCCATAACCACTTACGTAATAATTTATTGATCTCAGACTCATTATTAAGTTGAAATATTTGTACTAAGCTTCTAATCTGCTTTTAAGTATTAACAGATGACTTCACTTACGTGAGATTGAGAATATGAAAAGTTAAAAACCAAATTTTAATTGTTGAGTACTATAAGACAACAGTGCATTAAATCCTTCCTATCCATAATTACACGTTTTAAAGTGGTTTGTCATTGTGGACTCCAATTGTCCCAACACGATATATATTGTATGAAGCTAGAAGACATGCATGTGAGTGAGTTCATATTTGGATTGAATTTTTATTCATCATCGAACTTGTTGAAGAAGCACTGAACCCACTTCTGTTTGGATGACCCTTTTTTTTTCTGTCTCCCACAATGTCATAAAGTGATCATATCCACCACACATGTCCCACTCAACTAACAAAATTATGGATTTCATATACTTTATTTTTTATAACGATGTCTTTTATTAAAAAAAAATGTTATGGATTTGTTGGATCAGAATTTCCAATTCTTATCACAGAGTGCAAGAATTAGGTAAAAGTTGTTCTAACTTCATTACTATTCTTGAATTTGAATATCAGAAGATGTAATTTTAGGGGGGTGTATTGGTTTAGGATTTCGTAGGATTTTAAAAGACTTTTTTTGAGTAAAAAAGTCCATTGGTATTCAATCAGGATTTTGTCACTTAAAAATAATCAAGTGGTATTCAATCTAGATTTTCAAGATTTTTTAAAGAGTCCACTAAAATCCACTGGTATTCATTTGAGATTTTTTACAACTTAAAAACAATCCATTGATATTCAAAAATATAAGGATTTTAAAGGATTGTTGTGTGAGAGGGATTTTGAAGGACTTTCTAGTGTTATCTATAAATACCAGATTCATAAAACAATCTCATCCAAACCCATCGAATTTTGAAGGATTGTTTGAAGTGATTTTTCAAGTGTTTCAAGAATTTTCAAGTGAGTTTTTCATCTTTTTTTTTCTATACTCCTGTCTTCTCCATTTTTTTCTACTAATAATACTACACTATTGTTCATTGTTCATATATAATATTGTAGTACTGTTCTCATCCCATTCTCCTATTTTGTGAAACTCTAATATGTAAATGATAGTATTATTGACTTGTTCTATTTTTCTGTTCGTTCTCTTTAATTGACTTGTTTTATTTTATTTTATGTAGTTGAATTTGTTCCTTTATATAACAGAAAAAAATGCTTAAAATTTTAACTTTTAAGTGGTAATTTTTTTTATAACACACGTCAAGAAAAGAAAAAGGTGAAAGATGAAATTGATATCATAATTTCTACAATATATATATATATATATATATATATATATAAGATGAATTTGTTAGGGTTTCTGTGAGTAGAATGAGATGAAAATGGATCTTAGTTGGGGAAGAACCCTCTCAGCATATAAACCGTGAACTCTCTCCTTCCCTTGAATTTGTTACTCTTATCCCTTCTCCTTTTATGACTCAACAATTATTTTATTTTTTTTACTATGAATTTTTATTTTTATTTTTATATTATGAAATTAAGATTTTTTTTATATTTTAAAAAAAGAAAATTAACATAACACATTGCAGTATCTAATTTTTTAGGGTTTAGGATTTATGCCTTCATTAACTTATTTTAAAAAAAAAAAAGAAATATTTTAAAATATTTGTTAGAATAATTTACATTTATAAATATCGTTAAAAATTATCATATAAAAACTACTTTTTGTCCCTGAATTGACGATCTATTGTCTTTTCTTTCAATAATACTAACATAAGGACAATGGATATGATTGTCAATATATCACAAATTAAGGATATCTAATTATTTATCTATAAGTAGATTATTGTCATGTTTTAATTTTTCCTTTGTCCTCGTTCTCCACTATTTTTCTATCTTCCTAATACACAATGAATGTTATAAATTAAATTTGAAATTGATGGTGAAAAAAATAGCAATTATTATTATCCTTTTTGTAACTTAAAGATGCATGACATTGGAGTAGAAGGTAAGAATTTGGCATTTTTGTAAACAGGAAACAAGAAGAACAAGTCGTTGCTTTTCACGCATCAGTAAAATATTGCAAAACATTTAGCAATCCCAAAAAGTAAAATATTGCAAAACATTTAGCAATCCCAAAAGACTGTAGTACCCGAGTCCAAGCCCAACTTTGCTTCTTCTGAGTGCTTTTTCAAAAATCTCCAAACTTGTTCAAATAACATTATTTATTGGTTCAACTTTATCTAGCCACACTGATCACTCATTTTCGAATCCTTCCGAATTTGGCAGATATCATATAAAAAGTGGCTTCAATAATTAAAAGATAACTTTTTTCGTAAATAAAAAATTTACATTAGGATAAAACTTGGTCGCAATATCAAAATCAATCACCAACCTATTTGATAATTCTCAATGATATTATGAATCATGTACTTTATTCTCAACGCAAATCCGCATAGAATAATTGATATAAAACTTAAGGAAGTTAAATTCAATCTCAAGTTTTAACTAATAGAAAAAAAAAAATTTCGATTATTCTCTCGTATTTTATATTATTTTATATAAACTTATATTAAAGATAAAATTTTACAATATCTTAAAATCATAAAATAAATAGATGGCATGTCTTGTACTAATATAAATTTTTAAAGTAAAAGAAAAAATAATAAACTTCATCCTTTATTAAAGATATTTATGTCTTTTTACATACATATTTGACTTTATATTTTCCTTCGTCTTCCTTCCTATTAAATAATTAATAAAATTATCTTATTTTCATTTTATTTTTTTGGTTCTCTTTCTTCTCTTTTTCTTTCATAAAACAAACATCATGTTAATTATCATCGTTGTACAGATGGGTTATTAGACAAATAAGAATCTAATCACAAAAGGTTGTAAATATTAAAAATAAACTCTTAAAATATAGATATTGAATTAAATTTGGAATACAAGTTAGAAGGACAAATTATAAAAAAAAAAAGTATTATTTTTATTGGTAAGTAAAAGAAGATTTCATCATACAATCCCATGCACTAATATATATATATATATATATATATATATATAATA